TAAGTAGGTGTTCTTACTGTATTTTCTATCAAAACATTTAGGTGCATATTTTATTTTTCTTCCTGGGAGCATTAGCGATCAACTTGAGGCAGCTAAAATATCTAACAGTTTTGGGGCAGGGTGGGTTAGGGTTGCAGGTTCAACTCCCAGGGGAGACACTGCTACTGTGTCCTTTAGCAAGATGGTTCACCCAAATTGCTCCAGTAGGATACCCTGTATAAACAGGTGCAATGTAAGTTGCTTTGGGTACTAATGTCTGCCAAATAAAGGCTGCATTTTGAGAGCTTGTTTCTAGATTAATGACAGATAAGGCTGAACCCATCCAGGTGCTGCCTGATACTGCTCAGCTTGTTAATTGTTTAAGAATGGCCCCCTCGGGACACCTGGAGGCAGTCAGCCTAAGAAACCTCTGGGGCTGTATTCCTAAAGCAGGTCTGGTTCTGTGGGGATGACCTGTTATAATAAAAATAACAATTGCTTACACTTATATAGTGCTTTTCTGGACACTCCACTCAAAGCGCTTTACAGCAATGTGTACCCCCCACCTGGATGATGCAACGGCAGCCATAGTGCACCAGAACGCCCACCACACATCAGCTATCAGTGGGGAGGAGATAAGAGTGATGCCACTTCATAGATGGGGATTATTAGGAGGCCATGATTGGTAAGGGCCAGTGGGAAATTTGGCCAGGATGCTGGGGTTACACCCCTACTCTTTTGAAGAAAAGATTTTTTAATGACCACAGAGAGTCAGGACCTCGGTTTTACGTCTCATCCGAAGGACAGCGCCAACTGCTGCTGTAAAGGAGACAGCCTCCCCTAAGCCCAGCCTTGTTGGGGGCCCAGTGCTGGAGAAAAAAGGGGCATGGTAGAATCTAAAGCGCCCCCCCCCCCTAAAAAAAAAGCACAAAATAACCAGAGGGATGCCCAGAATGACAACTCTGTGACTCTGTGAGTTCAGTTTTCTCACTCTGTCTCTGCTCGTTTCCTGCTTCAGGCAGGGACCCGCTCGGGGGCTGGGTGTCTCCTCCCAAGGCTGCGCCCTGGGGTGTCGGTGAGGTGTGAACGGTGCTCTTCGGGGAGTCGCCCCATCCTTCCTCCCTGGCTGAAAGGACAGCTCCTGTCCTGCTGGTTCCCTCCTGCCCCGTGTGCCCCATGACAAAGCCGCTCGTTAGCGCCGATTCTCTAAACCTCCACCCCAGACGGCACATAGGTGTGGCGTGCAAACTCAGGGGAGAAGCTTGGAGCGACTTCCCCCCAAACTCCGCTCAGCTTCCTGTCTGTCTCTCCTCTCTCTCTTCTAAAGGCAGTGGTTCAGTCGAAACGTTCCTACTCTAAAATGGAGCACAGAACAGGGCAAAGACCAATGAGAAAAACAGAGCCCCGGCCGTGTGTCTGTGTGATGGGAACGGTGCTCCCTGATAGGCGGCACCAGGCCAGCTGCGCTGTTAGTGATCCAGATTCCCCCGGGCAGGAAGTGTGTACGAGGCCTGTCAGGGAGGAGCTGTTTATCAGCATCTCTCCTCCCGGTTTCCGCAGGCAGGGCAGCCTGCAGTGGCAGG